GGACCGGGGCACGAACCCGCGTCCCCTGCATCGGCAGGTGGACTCTCAACCACTGCGCCACCAGGGAAGCCCCTATTTTGTTTTTTAGATTCCACATGTACGTGAAATCATACAGTATTTGTCTTTATCTGACTTATTTCATTTAGCATAATACTCTCTAGGTCCATCCATGTTGTTGCAAATGACAAGATTTTCTTTTTTTTTTTTTTCTTGCGTTATGCGGGCCTCTCACTGTTGTGGCCTCTCCCATTTGCGGAGCACAGGCTCCGGACGCGCAGGCTCAGTGGCCATGGCTCACGGGCCCAGCCGCTCCGCGGCATGTGGGATCTTCCCGAAACGGGGCACGAACCCGCGTCTCCTGCATCGGCAGGCGGACTCTCAAGCACTGCGCCACCAGGGAAACCCAAATGACAAGATTTTATTCTTTCTTTATGGTGTATATACAATAGTCCATTGTATATACACCACATCTTTATTATCCATATCTCTGTTCATGGGCACTTTGGTTGATTCCATATCTTAGCTATTGTAAATAATGCTGTAGAGAACATAGGGGTGCATATATCTTTTTTTAAAAAATAAATTTATTAATTTATTTATTTTTGGCTGTGTTGGGTCTTCGTTGCTGCGCACAGGCTTTTCTCTAGTTGCGGCAAACGGGGGCTGCTCTTCATTGCCGTGCTTGGGCTTCTCATTGTGGTGGCTTCTCTTGTTGCAGAGCACGGGCTCTAGGCGTGCGGGCTTCAGTAGTTGTGGCTCACGGGCTCTAGAGTGCAGGCTCAGTAGTTGTGGCGCACGGGCTTAGTTGCTCTGCAGCATGTGGGATCTTCCCGGACCAGGGCTCGAACCCATGTCCCCTGCATCGACAGGCAAATTCTTAACCACTGCGCCACCAGGGAAGCCCCTCTGCCCATTTTTAAATTGGGTTGTTTGTTTTGATGTTGAGTTGTATGAGTTCTTTGAATATTTTGGATTTTAGCCCTTTATCAGATATATTGTTTGCAAATATCTTCTCCCATTCAGTAGGTGGACTTTTCATTTTGTTGATAGTTTCTTTTGCTGTGCAAAAGCTTTTTAGTGTGATACAGTCCCATTTATTTATTTTTGCTTTTGTTTCCCTTGCCTGAAGAGACATACCCCTCAAAATTTTACTGAGACTGATGTCAAAAAAAAAATACTGCCTTCAACTCAGAAACGTGGCTTGTCCTGGGATTGCTGCGGGGTGGGTGGGTGGTCAGTGTCCCCGAAACTTGGAGGGTCTCAGTGGTGCTGCCCCTTGCCTGACATGACCCTGTCCTTCCGCCACAGCTTTCCGGGCCCTTCTGCAGATCCGGGCAGTGAGGAAGAAGCCAGGAGCCCTGTCCCCCATCTCCTTCAGCCCCGTTTTGGCCCAGAGCATGGACCACGATGAACATTCTGTAAGTGCCTCTTCCTTCCTGCATTGAAGGGTGTGGGGGTGGAGAGAGGAGGGGCCTGGAGGAAGCCCCTGCCTACTGTGCAGGGCCCGCCTTCATGTTAGGACAGTGCCTGGCTCCTGGTGGGGCTAGTCTGGTGGGAGCCAGTAGGTCAGGAAGCCCTGGAGGTGTGGCCAGGAGGAGGCTGCCCAGGCTCTGCCCTCAGGGTGGTGCCAGGCCAGGACCCAGACTATCTGGCCAGCATCCCTGCCTCCCAGCTCTCTGGGCCTCTGGCTCACCTGCCTGGTCCCGACGGGTAGCTGTGAAGATGCGTGGGTGATCCAGGCTGGGCCCAGTGAGCTCTGGCTGCCGGATGGCGTTGCTTTTGCCAATAGCAAGAGCCTGAGATGCAGGTGACCCTTCACTGAGTCTGAAGGGTCGTGGTGTCGTCACCTCTGCTCCACCAAGGTGACCTTGAGAGAGAGGTGGGCAGAGACAGAAATGGGGAGGGAGAGACACAGAAATGCAGAGACATGGAGAGACAGATACGGAGAGAGAGAGAGAGAGACAGATGGGGATGAGGTTCAGAAGGGAGATGCTGAGAGATGGGCAGACAGGGAGACACAGGAAGAGATGTGGAGAGACACACCGACAGGGTGGGGTTTAGGGGGTCGCTGAGGTGGGCAGGTGGGGGCAGAAGGACCGTGGACGGACAGGGGTAGGCCCGGCTCCCGGCTCCCGGGTCCCAGCTGGCTTTCAGCATTGTCAGCCAGTGAACCTATTTTATTGGCTCTCGATTGAGGTTGTTTGGATCCAGTGATTCTTAGAGGCCCTGCCAGCTCTCTAAAAAGGAAAAAGAGGTCTTCCCTGGTGGTGCAGTGGTTAAGAATCCGCCTGCCAATGCAGGGGACACAGGTTCAAGCCCTGGTCTGGGAAGATCCCACATGCTGCAGAGCAGCTAAGCCCGTGCGCCACAACTACTGAGCCTGCACTCTAGAGCCCGCGAGCCACAATTCCTAAAGCCCGGGCGCCTAGAGCCCGTGCTCTGCAACAAGAGAAGCCACCACCATGAGAAGCCCGCGCACCACAACGAAGAGCCCCCACTCACCACAACTAGAGAAAGCCCACACACAGCAACAAAGACCCAACGCAGCCAAAAATAAATAAATAAATAAATACAATTTATTTTAAAAAAATAAAAAAATAAAAAGGAAAAAGAGCCAAAGCCCTCTGGATTGGCGTACCCACAGAGGGCGCCTGCCCCAGGCCAGCAGGTGTGATGTGTTCAGCCCAGCATTTCTGAAAATTGGGCCAATGTTTAAAAGTCTAGGAATTTTCCTTAAGACTCAGATTTCTGGCTTCTCTTTCAAAATCTGAAGGTGTGGTCTTGCTGCTGGATCAGGAGCAAGGCTGCCCCTCAGGTTGGGGTGCCCGTCACCCCACTTCTCCCGGGCCAGCCACACTGTTTAGCCTGTGGGGCCCATAGGCATCAGGGCTTCCGGCTCTGAAACCAGGCCCTCAGCCATTTAACAGTGGACTTGTTTTCAGAACAGCGAGTACTTTCTCCAGCACCATGTTTTTGGTGGAGAGAAGAACAGTACTGAGTTGTTCCTGACCCCGAGAAAGGAGCTTTGCTATTCCACGGAGGGTGGGCTCAGGTGGTGGGTTTTTATTGTCGCCTCTCCGGGTTTCTGTCCTGGCATCTGAGGGTCAGGCAGGATCCTCCCGTGTTTATCCTTCTTGTCCTGAGAGCCAAAGTGCCTCCCACAGTGCAGGGCAGCCTGGGGCTTGGATGGTAAGCTCGCACTCCAGAGGGCCACCGCCTTCCTCTCTGGAGGTTACAGTCCCAATTAAAATTGGCCCTTGTTCTCTGCCACATTCCCTGCACGAGCAATTTCCACGTAGTACTAGAGTCCAAATTGGGCATTTCCTCCAGTGAGTCTGTTAAGATCGCTGCAGAATGGGGATCATCGGGGGCTTTAGCCCCACCTTTAGGAGTTAGACTTGGTGATGAGTCAATGAGGCTGTGCTGGGACCTCCAGGTCCCTTCCCTGTGCCCAGCCAGGCCCACTTGTGGGCAGCGCTTGGCCACTGTCAACACCTGCCCTGGCCAGGACCTGCTGCTCAGGGTGACCCAGACCATGAGTGGCCGCTACGGACGGGGATGGGCTCTTCCAGAGCTGCAAGGATGTGCAGGCGCAGCCAACCCAGGCCCAAGGCAGAACCCATGCTCAGCCAGGTCCCCATGATTTACATGCACGTAGAGTTTGCGAAGCGCTGGCTCATGGCACACCTGGAGACCAGCAGACCAGGGATACCCCAGCCAGCCAGCTCCAGCGCCGCATGGGGGGTGGCAGCGGTAAAATCTATGATTTTTATCTTGACAGTGTCCCTTTAAAAAATCAAAGTCGCACCCTGCCTCACTGGCCAGCAAGAAACCTAAAAGGGAAACAGTAAGTGTGTTTGGCCCTGTGGCTACGTCTTTGCCCTGTGCCCTGATTATTGTACCAGTGACAAGAATGGGAAGTCACTTTCACCCCAGGCTAACGTGTTCTGTTCATTTAATCTGTCAAATCCACTCTCCCCAGTCCCGGCGTCCCTGCCCAGGAAGGGAGTTTTGTGGAACAAGCAAAGCTCAAGGTCTGTCGGCAGAAAGCGCCGGGCGCCCCTTCTCGCCAGCTCTGCTTCTGCCCGTGGTCTCCTGATGCCCTGTTTCCCTTTTTTTTCTTGCTGGCAGTGGAATGACGGAGGCGGAACTAAGGCTGCCGCTCTTGTTGCAAACGTCCCTCGTGCTTGCTCGTCCTGCATCCCTGCTCTGCGGGCCAACACTTGTATTTCTCACGTTTTTCCTGCATCTCAGGGAGCAGACAGCATGTGGCGGCTGGGCCGGGCCTCTGCCTGGGTCTCCGCTGAGCCCCGGGCCCCTTTGGAAAATGGTAGAGGGTTGGGGTCACTGAGGGTCAGCCTAGACAGAGAGGTTTTCTCCCTGTTTCGAGGGGCAAGGGGTGGCTTGGGACAAATGCAGGCACCGTGGTCCCAGGGAACCCAGGAGGTGCTCGCTGAGGACAGAGAGCACCACCTGGCTCCTCTGCCTCCCCCTGGTCCCTAGGGTCACTCTGTCACCTCCCTAAAGGGCAGCTCCCTTCCTTCTCACAGGTCAGCCAGGCAGGCAGGAGTCCCATGTAGAGAGCGTTGCCCTTCACCTTGTTCACGAGAGTGAGGGCAGGTGGCTGCCCCTAACATCTCCCTTTGCCTTTAACCCTAAAGCAAGACTCAGCCTATTGATTGGATCTACTCCCAGAGAGGATGAGACTGGTCCTGAGGAGGTGCCTGTTAGGCTCCCCGGAGCCCATATCAGCCCTGCAGTTGCTCGTCCGGCCCAAGAAGGGTCTCTAGGCTGGGCCCCCGTGTCGGGCAGGTCCTCCTGGCCTAGGCCACACACTCCTACTGGCTTCTTCCACCTCTGCCATGGCTTTGCTCCCCTCCAGCCCCTGCCCCCTCCTCTCACTAACACCTCTCTCACTCTCTGCGCCCACCAGGCAGGAGCAGAAAGCCAGGTAGGGGCTGGCCAAGGCCCTCTCTTCCTCCATCCTGGGCACCGAGTGGGCCACTTGGGTGTCCTGGGCTGCAGCTGCAGCTGATGGCCGAGGGCGCCCTGGGCAGGGGTGTCCGATGCTGCTGTGGAGTTCTTGGCGCCCCTCTGAGGGAGGGGGATGTGAGTCTCTGGAAGGTGGAGTGGACAGGAGATGGTCAGAGAGCAGGCTCTGGGGAGCAGACCATCCCTGGGGCGCCAGGCCGGCGTCTGGGGCTTTGTGGCCATGGGCAGTGGGCAGGGCGCCTGGCCGGCCCGTCCCTCACCTGCTCCTGTCTCTGCAGAGCTCCGACAGCATCCCGCCTGGCTACGAGCCCATCTCCCTGCTCGAGGCGCTCAACGGCCTTCGGGCCGCCTCCCCAGCCATCCCCTCGGCCCCCCTTTATGAAGAGATCACCTATTCGGGTGTCTCAGACGGCCTGTCCCAAGCGAGTTGTCCACTTGCTGGGATCGATCGGATCATGGAAAGCAGCCTCCAGAAGGGCAAGCTGAGGAGCAAATCCCCTGACAGGTGAGACCACCACCGGCAGCCCCCTGGGGAAGGTGTGCGGGACCCTCCAGGTGCACCTCATCCACCTTGTTTGTGCCCCACAAGCCAGCCCTGGCCTTGCTTGGCGATTACAGGATCATCATCACTGATGTAAGGGACTTTCGAGGGCCACATGCCCAGGGGCCGGGCAAGGGTCAGTCCTGGTCCTTTGGACACTTGGAGGTGCCAGCGAGCAGCCCTGCTGTGTTTAGTCTTTGCTCAGACGTGTGCTGGTTTTCTAGAAAAGTATAAAGGCACAGGTTCTATAAAACTCCCACGGCCCCTGCGCCTTATACGTGTGACAAAACAACTCCAAAGATACAAAAGGACACATGGGTCTCTCCTGCTGTTGCTCAGCCCTCCCCGCAAGCCTATACCATCGCGGTTCCCCTCTCCCCTGCAAACAGTGCTGTGTGCAGGCTGCAGGTGGAGGGCCACCTACTCCCCAGGCCTAGCGCACGTTGGCTGGCCCAGCTGGGGCGTTGGCTTGGGTGGGGTTGGCGTTGCTCATCCTCTGTCCTCCGCCCACTCTGTCCCCAGCACCCTGCGGTCCCCATCGTCCCCCATCCATGAAGAGGATGACTCGGAGGCCCCGCCCCCGCCGAGCGGGGCAGGGGTGGCGCTGAGCAGCTCCCCCGAGGTGAGGCCCCTGCCCGCCCTCCTCAGGCGTGCCATTGCCATTTGTCCTTCCGTCCCCACACTCCACCACTCCCTCGCACTCCTCGACCTTGGCTGCTGTGACTTCCCCCAGCCTCCGTTTCCTCATCTGTTGGGTGGGTGCTGTTGGGTGGAGTCCAGCGAGGGCCGTAGGAGGAGCTGTGTGTGACACACCCAAAGGCGCCGCCTGTCCTGGACCCAACTCACCCTGTGTCCTCCCCGGCCACCTGCAGCCTGGTGCCCAGCTGTCAGCACCAGGGTCCAGGCATGTTTTTCCTTTGTTTCCTAGAGCTTCATAACGGAGGAGGTTGACGAGACTTCATCACTAAAGCAAGGTGAGCCCTCTCCTCCCTGAGGCCCTGGTGCTCCCTGCCTGGCAGGAAGCGGGGCCTCTAAGTCTCTTCCGGAGGTTTCTCCAAGCTGTGTTAGTTGCCCTCCTGGGACCACACACTTTGGTTCCTACACGGTCTCATGGAGGACAGCCCTGGGCCGCTCCTGGTTTTCCCTCCTTATCCGTTCATTTAGTGGTAGCAGCCCTTTTTCTTCCCGCCTGGATCATTCTGGCCCTGGTCGGTGCTCTATGCTCCTGGGCTTGGGCTGTGCCCCTCCCTCCAGGGCAGGGTCCCACCGGGGTCTCTGGGCCTTGCCCAGGCCTGGGGTAGCCGATGGCCGGTGGGTGCGCAGCTCAGCCAGGCCCCTCCCTGGCGTGTTCCCTGTGTAAGGGGCCTGGTGCCCCTCCTGAGCAGAGGTTTAGCACTTGGCAGCCCCCTGGGGTCCAGTCCCAGCCGCCGCTGCCGGCACTGGCTGTGAGTGGGGAGGTGACGGGAGGTGGGAAGACGCTGTTCCTCTGCAGTCCTGGTCTTTCCTCCCCGTGTCAGACAGATGAGGAGACTGAGGCTCAGGGTTGGTGTCGGGGGAGGCCCAAGGCCCTTTAGTTGAGAATGACAGAGCCAGGGCGTGGCCAAAGTGTGGTCAAGGCCCCCAGAGCAACCTGCAGCCACCCTGGCGCTGTGACCCCCTCCCTGCTGGGTGGCCCCTGGCCGGTGCTGCGCTGGGTGACCCATGTCTGCCTGCAGGCCGCTGGGCAGGGCCTTGGGCCTGGGCATGGTGCCAGGGTTAAGGTGTCCCCCAGGAGCATGGTGTTGTCACTTCCCACCCGGCGTGCAGGGCCAGGTCCCTCTGCCTCTCAGGCCTAAGCTTCCCCACCTTCCATGGCTGTGGCTCCTTCCCACCTGCACATAGCATGTGCCAGGACTGGGGGCCTTCTGGAGGCCCTGTCGCAGGATCCAGGTCCCTCTTCTGCCTGAGGGGATGCCCCCACAAGCACAGTGCAGGTCCCAGGCTGAGAACTGATGTGTGAGAGAGAGGACACCCCCCGTTCCCCCACATGTGAGCTCCCTGCTGCGGGCCTAGGGGTCAGAGGGCTGAGCACCCACCTACCTGTCCAGGAAGATAGGAGACAGTCAGATCTATTACCATTCCATGTTGTCTTTTAAATGTGGGTATGTGATGTTTTTATAATAAAAACAAAATAAAGCCCCACGCTGGTGGGTAGGAGAAAAGGAAAGAGAAAGAAAATAGACGTCTACCTCTGGGTCCTGGGAGAGCAGAGGGGGAGTCAAGGGCGGGGTCTGGGCCCCAGGGTGGGGTCTGGGGTCCCACACTCCTGCCTGCCGGTCCCCAACCTGCCCCTTCCTCTGCAGGAAGCCGAGTGCCATCTATCGAGAATGTCCTGCAGGACAGCAGCCCCGAGCCCTGCAGCCGAGGCCAGCCCAGCGCAGCTGCAGACATCTACCTGCCAGGTAACGGCACTCGGCCGGTGGCACTGGGAGCCTGCCAGGCCTGGGGGAAGCCCACTTCCCCGTCCCTGGCTCTGAGCCCATGCTTCTTCCATTGACCCGCAAAGCACGGCCAGGCCCGGATTACACAGTCACCCTGCAGCCCCTGGTTCTTTGGGGCAGAGCTTGTGCCCGAGGCCCCTTTTCATCCCGGAGCCAGCTCAGCCTCAGGAAGGCAGAAAAGGCTTCTTGTTTAAGGCCAGGCGGGCAAATCTGGTCCCACTGCCACTGCTATCTTCCTTCATCCCTGGGCTGTGCTGGGTGCCCCAGCAGCCAGGCCTCTGCCCAGGCAGCTGAAGACGGAAACCTCCCTGCTGGCTGCAGGCCTGGCGAGGGCCAGCAGGCTCCACCACTGGCCTGGGGCTCACGGGCTCCCTGGTCCCGGGTGAAGCAGCATGTCCAGGCCAGGGCAAGGGACACGGGCTGGGGCACTAGGTGCCAGCGAGGCCCAAGGGCAGCAGGAAGGGGTCTTGCGTCTCCTCGCACCCCTTCCCAGGCCCCCACCTAGGGCCCTGTGGCCTTAGCTCTGCTCTCTGCTCCTCTGGGTCAAGATCCTCAGGTTCAAGTCCTGGGGTCCAAAGACGGGACGGGAGTTGGGATCTCTCAGACGCTTGTGCCCAGGCCTGCTGGGACACCACCTGAGGTTTCCGGAATCAAGATAAAAAGCCACGTTGCCCTCAGAGCCTGGCTGCTTCCTCGTGGCTGGGAAGCCCCTTCTCCTCGCCCCTACCTGTCCCGGGAGCCACCACTGTCTGGTCCCCTGGCCTGGGCATTGGGGGAACTGTGATGTGCTTTGGTCTGGAAGGGCCTCTTGTTCCTGGGATTCTGGACGAGCAGCGGCCTGTGCAGACAGAGGGTGTGGTTAGAGGACAGCGGGTCCCCAGGTGTGAGGAAGGAGGGCACTAGTTGGTTCGTTGACACACACGGGCCTACCCAAAGGAACCCCTGGGTGAAAGCTGTGTCTAGGACCTTAAAGTAACACAGGATTCCAGAGGACTTAGTATATCATGAGGATGAAAACCTGGTCAGGGGCTGAGGGGCGGTCAGGAGAGGGACTCAGCTTCCTAGAGCCCTGAGTGAGTCCTGACCCTGTAGGCGGCCCATGGGTGTGGGTGAGGGCACCCTGAGTGCACGCAGCCTCTGCGGTGCCACCCCTCACTTCCCACGCCTCGAGTGGCCCACGGAGTGTCCAGGAGCTCAGGACAGGCCACAGCCGGCTGGCCCAGCCCACGGGTGAGAGCGGGACCTCTGGCTCTCTGGACCCCCCAGTGCATGTCTTGGGCCTTCTTTAGGTCCACACTGGGGGTGGAGGCAGTCGGCTTTGGAGGTGGTAGAGGAGAGGCCACAGAGGCCAAAAAGCTGGCTGTGGGGCCTGACCGGACAGCAGGGTGGGGCTGGTTCTCGATGCCAGAGCAGAGAGGAGGCTGCACGTGGGTGTCCTGTACCCCCTCCTCACAAGCATGGCTCCTTGTACCTGGGGGGCAGGCAGGGGTCCTCGTGGACACGCACACCTCTGAGTCGTCCATTCCCACGCCTCTTCCTCTGTTCTCTCCGGGCTTTTTTGCTTAGCAGAGACCCTACACATCTTCCACATCAGTGTGTGTGTTTAAGAATGCACACACGCAGGGATCTCCACTCTTTTTAACAGCACCGCATTCTCTGGCTGGATGGAGCGTGATTCAGTGAATCTTAGCGTATCCTGTAGATAGGAAGAAAGGAGATGGGGGAAAATTCATAAAATGGAGAAATCCTAGATGTCCAGCATCCCAGCAGCCCTGTGGGGTGGGGGCCCTTCCTGGGCTCCGCTGTGCCCAGCCCCCAGCCCTGCCCCAGCTACCTGCATCCTTCCCTGGGCTGGGTTCCTCTTCATTAGCACTGGGCCCAGAGCTGTTTCTCAGGAAGCGTTTTCAGCACGTGTCTCTTTTGTGTCAGCACATCGGTTTGTGTGGCATTTATTTCCATCATATCCCACCCCCACCCTGGCACCTTGTCCTAAAGCCAGTGCCTCTGCCCTGGAACGTGCCGGTCCCTCTGAGCGCTTTGCTAACCGAGCTTCCGTCTCTCTCCTCCTCTGCGCAGCCCTGGGGCCTGGCTCCTGCTCCGGTGGTTTAGAGAAGTAAGCTGGTACGTGACGCATTCGCACGCGGGGCGGGGGCTCTGCGGGCGGCCTTGGCAGGGTGCTGGAGAGAGGGCCCCAGCCACCCTCCCTCTCCTGCTCCCGCTGGGGGTTCCTTCCCATTTTCCGGGCTCCTTCCACAGCCGTGTCTTCTCCGGGGCCCTGGATTCAGAATCCAGAGTGCTCCAAACACCAAGGCAGAGGTGCCCCTGAGAGGTGGTCCTGCAGGGTCTGATGCTGGCTTTTGGAACCAGAGGATTTCCCATCTGGACCAGGCAGCCCAGTCAGGCTCTTGCAGCCTTGAGGGTCCCGGGATCAGTGACTCAGCCCTAGCTGAGACCCTCCCGTCGCTGACAACTAGCCTGTTCCCCCACCCACCTCTGGAACCTTCCGGAACACCAACATGCCCTGATGTCAGTCTGTGAGGCGGCTGCGTGAAGTGGTCTCCGCACCTAACAGGGAGGTGCCCTCTCCCTGGGCGACCCAAACAGACGTTTTACAGAAGACAGTTCTGCGAGCACCACTGGGAGGGGACGCGCTGGGGCCCCTGCCCCTCCCTCAGGTGACAGCAGCCTCGCCAGCAAGTCTGGAGATAGAGAACCTGGCTCCTTCGGTGGCCCAGGGTTTCCAGACGAGTGTGGGTGGGGTCGCACCGCGTGCTGTGTCGGCCTTGTGGGACGCAGCCCTCCTCCCGGTCAGCCGTCCTGGACCCAGGCTGCGGGGTCCATCCACCCACTGCCTTCCCCCACAGACCTTTCTCGTCTTCCTTGATCATTCCTTGTGATGAATCTTACTCTCTGCTGAAATAGGACCTGACACTTTTATTCTCATCCGTGGGAGATGTTGAGTGTTGCCACTTAGGTAAAACTTCCGGAAGTAGGAAACGGGTCAGACCCGGCTGCTAGGAACTGTATTTGTCCTGTGTGCTGTGTGTCAGAGCTGGCTTCCCACGTGAAGCCATGGCTCCTAAGAAAACTGTCCCTCACCGAGTCCCCGAAGTCTGTTGCAGGGGGCTTCTGGGTTTGCCATTGAATCCACCCCGGGGCTCCTTGTGCGGATGGGCACGGCCCTGAGAGGTGTGCAGCTCCCCCCTGCACCAGCGCCTGGAGGTGGCCTGAGCCAGGGATGGAGCCCCTCACGGCATCCTGGAGGCGCCATGTGGGGATGGCGGGAACAGCCTCCAAGGAGGGCAGGCAGGGGCTCCTGGGGCCGCTCTAGGCGCCCCTCCACCGGGGGTGACGGAGTTCCAGCCAAATTCAGTGGCCTGTCGGAGCCCAGGAAGCACGGAGCCGGCACGGGCGGGGCACCCGGGAGCTGGCAGCCAAGGTGCCCCATTGCTTTCTGTTCCAGGGCAGGGGCTGGGGTCACCCGGCCCTCTGTGTGCTCTGCTGCAGACACACAGTGGGGCAGCTGGTGGGGACCCAGAGCCTGGCGGGCAAAGGGAGCGGTGAGGCGGGGCAGCTCAGCCGAACGTGACCCTCCTCCCTTTTTCCCGCCTGCAGGATGGTCCACCTCCATGGAGACGCCCCGCAGCCTCCACACCGCCGGGCCCCCCCGGCCTCCACTTGGTGGCCCCAGTCCTGACCCTGGGGCCGCTGAGCTGACCCCACTCTGAAAGCGTGGCCAGGCTGGCAGCATGGAGCCCTCAGCTCCCCAGACTTGGCCGAGGGGCTGCCCGGACTCCAGCATGACCCCTGGCCTCTCCAGTCTGCACGCCCTGTGTGGTCACTGGCTCCGAGGGGCCATGTGACCCTTGATTGAAGAGCACAGTTGACCTTCCTCTCTGACAACCCCCTTTTTCTACGGTCGATGTATTTATAAATGGTACAGGATGAAGGATGGCGGCTTTCTGTCCTGGGCGCTGAGCTCTGGGGTTCCTCCCAGACGTCCTACGGGCTGATCACCCACGTACAGCCTGGATGGGCCTCACCCAGCCCCCAAATCCGTAGGGGGCCCGTCAATGCCCGAGAACTCAACAGAGTGCAGTCTTCACAGGAAACGTCACGGGGGCCTTGTGGGAGGAAAGGAAGTGGGGTCCGAGTGTCAGTCAATGAAGGAAACAGTGCCTGTCCCCTCCCCATGTGCGTGTACCCTCCCCCCTCCCTACGCAGCCCTGTGGGACCACCTCCCACAGTTTGCCCCCCGCCCCCCCCGGGTGGCTAGGCAGTCAGGCCAGGTCTGGGTCTGGCCATTAACAGCGGTTGTGTCCAGGAGCCCTTCTCTGAGCCCCACACCTTCTCAGAAGCGGCCTAGTCCATGTCGTCAGACCCTCCGGGTGGGGGGCTCCACTCGGCCGGTGGCGCTGCCGCCCACCTGCCCCGGGAGGGCCTGAGCGGCTTCTCCGCTCCCTCTTCACCACGTAGATGCCACTTAGCGTTTCTCTTTGATTTGTTCTGTCTGGGACTCCTGTGGTGGGACCTGCCAGGGGATGAGGGTCCCATCTGAGGTGACCTCGTCTTTTCTTAAACTTTCTGGGTAACAGAAAGGCAGAGGGGACGCTTGGCCTTGGTGCCCCCGGGTGAGAGCTTCCGCAGCAGGACCTTGAGCCCAGTGGGTGGGTCTGCAGCTCCCGGGTGCAGACACTTTCCTTGCAAGCGGGAGAGGGTCCCGCTTCCTGAGGAGCTGCCCTGGGAAGGAGGGTTCTGGGGCGGCCGGCTGCACAGCCTGAGGCTCTGTTGAGTGGGGCAGTCGGGCGTGGATGACTCCTTTTCCCTCCGGTTGAGCCTGTGAACAGAGGCCACACTTGGGGCAGCCTGCCCTGGCCCCTTGGCTCCCTGCCTCCCCTCCCCTCCCACCCACCATGTGTTCATGGGTGCACGCATGCCGATGCACACACACACATGCACACACACACACATGCACACACACAGGCACACACACACACAGGCACACACACACACAGGCAGGGCAGCCGTGTCCCTCTCCTCAGCCCTCTCCTCTCACGGCCATGCCATCGATATTGTGCCAGTAACTCTGAAGGACAGGATGCAGACTGGCCTGTCTTGTACTTGCGTGTGCTACCATTTGATGTACTCTGATTGGCTAGTTTTTGTTCGTTTTTACTGTCTATTTATAGTAATAAAATCATGCAGCAATATCCCACCCGCTCCTTCCTCCGTGCACAGCACCGCAGGACTGAGGCTGTTTCTTGGGAGGCAAGACAGCCGAGTAGCTGGTGGCAGCTCTGACGCCCTCACAGCAGTGCAGGTGCCAACTTGTGGCTGCAGCCTCTGTTCCCTCATGTATAAGATGTCTGCGAACTACAACTTCCAGGAGGGTGTGAGGGCTGCTGTTATTACTCTTTTGGTCATCATCGTGCTGATTGTTGGGTTGGAGCAAAGGAGGGACCCTTGGGACTTGGCTCTGCCTCCTGAGCAGGTGGCAGAGCCCAAAGCCTCCAGGTGTGCGAGTTGCTTCGGCGAGTTGATTCACCCCACCGCCGTGAACTGAGTGCCTGCTCTGCCAGAAGACAAAATGGGCAATGCCCCCGGAGCCTGTGTTCTAGTCAGTGAGACACCACGCAAGTAATCCAAGTCTTCCCAGGTCTGGTTACTGTTAGGAAGAGAGTCAGTGGGTCACAAGATGGAGTTGATTTAACCTGTGGCTCGGGAGGGCTTCTCTGAGGAGATATTTCAGCTGAGCCCTGAATGCTGCCAAGGAGCTCTCCGCAGAAGCGCACCCCAGGCAGGCGGCCCAGCAAGTGCAAAGGCCCGGAGGCAGGAGTGGACCAAGTGTGTCCAGCAAGTGGCTGAAGCATCAGAGTTGGGGGTGTGAGGTGCAGACACCTTGTGGGGTAGTTTTAGTCAGAGGCTTCTAAGCAAGGGAGCAACTTTCTCCAGCTATCATGTGGGGAATGGATTGGAGGGGCAGGTTTGGCTGCCAGGATGCTGGAGCCCAGCCAGGGCCCTCTGCTTGGTCAGCCCTCCCCTGCCCAGTGAGCAGCCTCCCCGTAGGGGAAGGCTGGGGCTCCAGA